CGTAGATTGGACGGGCGCCTGCATAAACAATTTCAATTCATCTCTTAAAATCACGTGCCTTGCATTGAGCTCAAGCCCGCGAGGAATTTCAATGAGAATTTCTCGAAAAATGTCGAAAGGAATGAAAAGGAATAGCGACCTCTGCCACCGTTTCGTCACGGCCTCGCTCCGTGCCAGCGGCCGCACCTCTGCCTTCTCCGCGGCGCGTCGTCTCCCTCGTCCGCCGCAGCGCCCGGGCGATCGGTGGTGCCCGGGCGCGCGCGCCGACGCCGGCCCTCGCCGACCGAGACAAACGGCTGCCGGACAGCCATCGGTCGCCGCCGCCGACGGCCGACGCGCATCAAACGGCGCTGGACAGGCGAACGCGCGTCGCGGGCGTCGCCGACGTGCCGCGGCCCGCCCCGGACGAGCGATGGGGCGGCGGCGACGGCGGCCGCCCGCGCCCCGCTGTTTTTGGCGCGGCGGCGGCGGCGGCGGCGGCGGCGGCGGCCGGGGCGACTCGCGCGACTTGGCGCGACACGTGTCGCCGTCGGGCCGGGTGTCGTCGTCACCTGGGCGCCGTGTCGCGCAGGTGTGGCGTCACCTGGGCGCCGACACGATCCATCTGCGCCGGGCGCGGCCCTAATGGGAATCGAGCGAGCGCGGGCGGGGCGACCTCATCAGCGGGCTGCCGACCGCCGGGCGATCGCCGCCCCACCGGAGCTATCGATTGTCGGCCGTGTTACGCCGCCGCCGGCGCTCGTCAATCCCGACGGCGGCGACGATGGGCGGGCGCAATCGACGACCCACCGGCGGCGGGCCGGCTGGCCCGGCGCCGTCGCCGGCACCGCGCCCGGGTGGGGAGGGGGGGGGGGGGGGCGCTGCGGCGGGGTGCCGAGGATATGGCCGCCGCATGGGCGTGACGGTGTGCCCTGGAGGCCGGGGCTTGAGAGGCTTGATGCTCGTCGGGGCTGTCAGCGTCATTCGAAGCTTGGGGTGCGTCAAGATCGTGGCATAGCGCGGGGCCGACGCTTCTGTCGAGGGTGCTAACCGCCCACTGGACGTTGGGCGTGGTGTGATGAGTTCAGAGCTGTTCGTGAGGCGCACAGCTTGTAGGGAAGTGCATGTAAGGTGTAAAATCATTTACCTTTTTCAAACGTTTCAAAGACCGTTTAAGAGCTACAGGTGTAATGCCCAGTTGTGAATTCCCTTCAAAGTCGATAAGCCCCGTCATGAGACCGATGATTCCGAGTGCTCTCAAAGCAAGTGATAAAAAATGTTGGAATGCTGTAGTAAGACTTCCACCAATACATGGAAAACACGGTTAGTTTTGGTTTTACTTCATTTAATTGCTCTCGCTATCACAGGACTGGCGCGACATGCCATCTCAGCGCGATGTCACGGCCACAGACCGGCCCGGCCAGAGTATCCCATGGCCGACGTTTTATTCCATTTCTGCATGGTGATCACAAGGGAGAATTACCGATGGCCACTATCTGCGGCTGGACACAGCGTGAAAGGCGCTGCCAGCAATAAAACGGTCTCGACGACACTACCTATCGTGTCCAGAGGGGCCTGGCCATGAACTGAGCCGAGTGGCGAAAGCATTGGCTTGGGCATTTACGCCAACATCGAACGGTCGGGTGTTTGATCACAGAGGAACTTAGCGATTTAACACACGCAACAGGACACCGGTTGTAAAATTTTAATGCTGACGACCTTGGCACTTGCATCCGTCGGTACAAAATCCACCAATTGGTAAGAAGAAGAGTGTTCACTCGGATTGATGTTCAGTTTTAACGGATTGATGTTCAGATCAGTTTTCAGCACTTTGCCCAGACCATTGGTCTCGCACTGTATTGCCGGTGTATATTATTTTCCGCACCGGGTGGGAATGTCGAGATCTACTCTGTTTTATATGTTTATTTTTACGCAAGGTTTTGCGAAAGTCGAGGAACTCTGTTTTAGGTGAAAATGAGGGAAATTCAAGCGATCCCGGGGTCGGGTTTTTTGGGAGAACCGGTGGGAGCCAGGACCCAGGTTCTTGCATTGTCAAAATAACCAGTGTGAATCAAGATCCAGGATGCTGGTTTGTCGAAAGAAGCAGCAGGAATCAGGAACCAGGCTTTTGTGTTGTCTAAAGAATAAGTGGAAATTAGAATCCAGTGGTTTGTTTTGTCGAAGAAACCAGACAGAAACAAGAGCCAAAACTTGGAACCAGACACATGTCTGCTTAGAGGAAATAGGTCAAGCAGTACCTACTGTTCATAGTTGACATCACACTGGAGCGCATTTGACATCACACTGGAGCATGCGCTGACGTCGGCTGTTTATATTTTAATGAAACAAAACACCTTTTGCACTTGATTAGAAACAGAGCGGTCGAACTCCGGGGAGAAGAAATCTCCCCCCCCCCCCCTATCCATGAATCGCTTCCGCGCCGCTGGGTAGGAATAAGCCACTTGCAGGATGGTCATCGGGTCGGTGGAGTGCATGCTTAAATGACATATATGTGGCTCAAGTTGACATGATAATGACATGACATGACAGATAATGAGGTGGCATCGTCCATTCCGCGCAGGGAGTTGATCTTGTCTGGCAAGACAGCCGCCGTGCGACTTCTGTTCGCTCAGCACCACTGATGTTACTTACTTCGCTCTCCCACAGCGCAATTTTCGCACGCCCCCCCCCCCCCCCTCAACGGCCTGTCCCGAACACCTGTCGCGACGGCCGTCGGCGGCCGCCACCTCGGCCGCTCCGGCACGCCGTTGCCGGCGGCGGGGCGGCGGCTCGGCCGCCGCCTCCGGTCGTCACCGGTCGCAATCGGCGGCCCCTGCAGTGCGCCGCGCGCCGCGTCGGCGTCCGTTCCAGCCGGCGGTTAGTACGGCTTTCGAGTCTGATGAAGACAGGCAATTTGTGCTGCCTCGAATGAAGTCGACGCCGGGCATGGAGGGCGGCCACACGGGCGGCGGGCGGTGGGCGGGCAGGGCGGCTCACAGGCGTCAGTGGGCCTTCAGCGAGAGACCGCTCGGCGAACTGGACGGCCCGGCGCGCCCGGACGCATCTGGCGGCTGTGGCCTTGCGCGGCACGCCGGCGTCGACCGGACGCGTCTACCGAAGCTCGAGCGACGCCCGGATCAGTCCGTCTCTGGCGTTGGCTGGCTACTGCCTCGCAGCACCGCCGGCGTGCGGTACATCATGCAAGCCATCTTCTGTTTCATGATACGAAGCAGTAGGGCTGTAGTAACCGGCTGGCGTGGCGCGTTTCTGGCACGGCTGCATTGCACTCAACGCATTTTCATTACTCGTTGGGCGCAGCCGGCCCACGCCGAGTCATGCACACCCACTTCGCGTCGGCACGCACGCCCGTACCGACACCCGCACTGCATCACTACAATACATTCAACACACCGACGCTCGTCGTCTTACTATCCGGGTAAACTTATTGCCAATTACACGCTCCTAACTACCTCATCATATCTCCAGGTGTCCTCCGATTTACGACTGCTCTCCCTCCGGCGCCCCAGCGGAGCTCCCAGACGGCCGGCGGCATAATCTGGCGAGCAGAGCGCGAAAACAGGCCCAACTTCCGACCCGAATCCCGCCGTAAATTCGCCCGGATGACTGCCGGGATTTCAGCGTGGCCTGGCGCGAGGCGCAATCGCAGCCGCCCCAGATAAATGGGGAGGGGGGGGGGGGGGGGCGCGGCGCTGCTGGCGGTGTCATCGAGTGGCGCCGCCGCCGGCCTACGCCGCCGGAGCAGCACGTGATCCGGCGGCATGTGGCGAATACAGACGACCGCCGGCACGTGTCCTGAACGCTGACCACCGGCCCCGCCCCTGGTGCGCTGGACCAGAGCCGCCGCTTCCGCCGGCCGGCCGCAGCTGGACGGAATCCAGATATCTGAACGGCGGAGATTTACGGCAGCGCCGAGCGCATCTGCCTCTCATTCTGTCTATTTGCCTTGTCGGTATTGACTCAGCACTGCTTCCGTGCTATTAGTGCTGGCAGAAAAATGCGGCTACAATAACACGAATTGTTTTATCTGCGCAGGCCCCCGGGTGCCCTACTGCGGCTGAAGGGGAAGGTTCGATATTGGCGTAGGCTGATTGCTAGACCCAGAGCAGCCAATTTACGCGTGAATCGCCTTACTCTACCACTTCGGGGGAGGATATTCAATTGTGTGCTTGCTTTTGTCTCTGGCACAGCTATTACAAGAAATGTGATCTCATTTGCTGTCCCATTTGAGAACGACGTTAGTTTCAAAATGAAGGTTTTGCTGTTTTGTCATCAAACAAGAAGACCTTGCCGATTGTTAGCGCTCTCCGGCACCCTTGAATGCTGTTCGCGCTTGTTAAGGCCAGTATCATTTCAACGAACACACGTGACTGATAACTCGCTGAGGCGATGACTCTCACTCAGCGGACTGCGGTGAACACGCCATCACAATTTGCCACCGGGGCGGACTTTTTCCTCGGCCTTTGACCCGCGCTGCTGCAGCCGCAGTCCGCGTCCGAGGCGGGCGCACAGCGGTCACCAATTCGCCAGCGGCCAATCAGCGGCCAGATGCCGGCCGCGTCCGCCACTGCCGCCGCACGGGCGGTGGCGGCCGCCGCTCATTCATTCAGGTCGAACGGGCTCATTCGATGAGGCGGGGAAGTATTGCGATTGAGAAATGGACTGTCAGCATCGCCCGAATGGCATCCGGCTTTACAATCGGTCCATCCGCATTGGTGGGCCGAATTCTCCTCAATCGTGTGACCCATCCAGCCCAGCCGCGCATAAATTTGTCACGCGATCCGTCACGGCCCGAGACCGCGGCTGCCATGGCGAGGATGCGGATGGTCGGAGGATGCGGGAGCTCACGATGCCTGCGTCGCGAAGCCGCCAATGCGAGGCTGCAAAGGCCCTGACACGGTCGGAACGATAACGGAGCGGCTCTCGTTGCAGGGCTGGGTTCGGAGGACGAGGCGAGGCTGCAAAGGCCCTGACACGGTCGGAGCGATAACGGAGCGGCTCTTGTTGCAGGGCTAGGTTCGGAGGACGAGGAGCGGTTGGTCGCCGACTTATTCTTTGGATACAACAAGCTGATTCGACCCGTCGAAAACATGACCAAAACGGTCCAAGTGGAATTCGGGCTCGCCTTCATCCAGCTCATCAGCGTGGTAAGTGGCTGACCGGATGCCTGGGCAAGAGGCCAGCTGCTCCTTGTCTTGACAGCTTGCCCTTTAACGATGTGCCAGGGCATTCCTGCCCGCAACAAGTCTGGGTCAAATATCCGCGTAGTTTGACTGAGACAGACAGGTTTGCTTTAGGCACACAGCAACAAAGTGAATGACTGATGCATAGGAGGTTGTCATCGATCAGCGAGTATATTTACACTCGACGCTGATATTGCCTCAGCACCATGCTATCCCCCTGTTTGTGTGGGCCATTGTCACTTGGGCTTTGCGAAGCATTCAGCTGCTGAGTGTACATGACGTCGTCTACCTCTCATCCTGGCAGGAAGGGCGGGCGCTGCGGGAATCGAACCCTGTACCCCTGGTTTTGTAGACTCTCAGCTTTACCGCTGTACTAACGGTACCCTTCTTGTGTGCAAATTCATGTTTAAGCCAGGTTCCAGTGGGGTGGGTAAGCCGCATTTCAGCATTGTGTACCATAACTATGATAATGTATATCGCTCTGCGTCTGATAAGAATGGGAGCCCCGGTTGAGCTTTTGATTAGCACTTATTCGCGGCCATAGTATGCAAATTAACTTCCCCATTTCGTATTTTGGCGAGGTCATATTCCATGCGTTAAGACAGTTTTCCCCTATTTCAGAACGAAAAGAATCAGATAATGAAGTCCAACGTCTGGCTTCGACTGGTAAGGCACCGTCAACAGCACCAATGCACGCTTCATGTTCAATACGCTGCGCGTATTCATGTTTACCCTTGTACTTAGACATAGCGCAAGCAATCACAAGTAATTCATGCCGACAAACCTGTATACTTATCCTTGCTGTTTGCCTGCTACATATTAGCAGTGATACCAGAACGCAGAATATGTTCTGCAAGAGTTCCACTTTTTCGAGAAGCATTGATGTCCCCTGACCGTTGGTACAAGAATAGTGATAAAGTGACCTGCACATAGCATTCAATTAGGATGTCATCCCGAGCCATTCAATTAAGACGTCATCCCGAATCATTCAATTAACATGCCATCCCGAACCATTCAGTGAAGATGACATCCCGAACCATTCAATAAAGTGATGCAGGATAATGCAAGTTCAAATACTCAAAAAGCCTCTGTCGCGATAGACACTTTTTAGGAGTCTGAACTTTTTGACACGTGTGCCATTCCTGTTGAAGAATATCCAGACAAGATTACGCCGAATTGGCGTGGAATGCCTACCAGCACCACCATGCTAAAATTAGTGATCCGCTCATGATAAACGCCAGTGTTTCAGCCATGCGCATTTTTTTCAACCTTTCAGTTCCATGCCTTGCAGCCGTCCTGGAATCGTCCAATGCCAATGCATGACGCATGCGACAAACCACGTGATTTGCGTAATGACTTCGCATCTGCCATATGCCACTGAAATATTTTTCTGATCGATGAACACAGCACATTTGAACACTCGGTGCTGCCTGGTGATGACAACCAAATCAGGTAACGACTGTCAGGGACCTGGTGAAAAATGACGGAGTTCAGATTACCATCTGGGTTACCACTATCTCTCTCTTCCACTCACATACGCTCGCGCCAAAGCCTAATGCACAGGCACTGGCAAGGCTTAGGAGAACTAATCTCTAATGCGAAACCAGGAAAAGCCTCTGTCGGCTTCAGCGAACCCTAAATGACTCGCCAGCCACAGCCGTGCCATTTCCAGCATGCCAATTGATGGATACTGGGCCAGAAGCACAAACCGCCATTAATCCGTTGACTGGGCTCAGAGAATAGCCGGATTCGTCTCACTGGCTGCTCTCCATATTCCCCATGTCATTTATGCTGATCTGGGAACCGGCCATCGATTTCAGCACGGTTGATGAAGTCGGTTGACCCGCTTCGGCGATCCTAAATTTTTGGTCGCGTGGCTGCAGCTTGGTGGCTCTTTGATATGATTACGGTTTGTTGTAGAATGTCGAGCCTTAACAACATGCACAAACTGTGTTCTGACGTCAAAGAAAAGCGGAACCGTCCTGTCCCATCAGCTCTTGAATAATAGAATTGTTTGTTGGTCGCCAAAATGCCCAAAGCCAGAGCTTTGGAATCGTCACTACAGGCTAGTTGTATTTGTGCCATGTTGTATCCGTGGATGTTGGCGAATTTCAGCGTTTCATATGGAAGCCGGTTTTAATTACATCAGCCGCGTTTCTCTAGTAGGGAAACTGTGTAGAAGACTTATCGTACGCCAAACAAGGTCGGTCATTGTAGCATTCTTACAATAATCATCGGGTGAAACAATATGCTTTATCTGGGCTAAGGTGCATCGCTGTTTCGCTCTGGACGCACACTTAGACCATTAGTGCTAGGAGATGCCGAGTGTTGCACGGTTAACAGCAGCACCTGTGAATCATCATGTGTGCATCTCTGGCACGCGACAATTGGAAAAATGAAACCGTTGAACGCACTTCCACAAAAAAAGAACACTTTCATGGACCACTTCAATGCACGGCTCGGTGCAGATTCTGGGGCCCGTCATCGTACGGCCCATTATGGGGCGTCACTGAATACAGCGGTCAAGAGGTGGGGAATGCGACGAAATGGTGGGCAACGCTGCACCACTCGCACCCAACAGGAGAACCTCCTCCCCTGCTGCGGCCGCTCAGCCGGGACCGGCCTGTCCATTGCTGCGGCCGCTCAGCCAGGGCCGGTCTGTCCACTTCTGCGGCCGCTCAGCCGGGACCGGCCTGTCCACTGCTGCGGCCGCTCAGTCGGGCCGGCCTGTCCACTTCTGCGGCCGCTCAGCCAGGGCCGGTCTGTCCCCTGCTGCGGCCGCTCAGCCAGGGCCGGCCTGTCCACTGCTGCGGCCGCTCAGCCGGAACCGGCCTGTCCACTGCTGCGGCCGCTCAGCCAGGGCCGGTCTGTCCACTTCTGCGGCCGCTCAGCCAGGGCCGGTCTGTCCACTGCTGCGGCCGCTCAGCCAGGGCCGGTATTTCCACTGCTGCGACCGCTCAGCCAGGGCCGGTCAGTCCACTGCTGCGGCCGCTCAGCCAGGGCCGGTCTGTCCACTGCTGCGGCCGCTCAGCCAAGGCCGGTCTGTCCACTGCTGCGGCCGCTCAGCCAGGGTCGGTCTGTCCACTGCTGCGGCCACTCAGCCAGGGCCGGTCTGTCCACTGCGGTGGCCGCCCAGCCGGGACCGGCCTGTCCCCTGCTGCGGCCGCTCAGTCGGGGCCGGTCTGTCCACTGCGGTGGCCGCTCCGCCAGGGCCGGTCTTTCTTCTGCTGCGGCCGCTCAGCCAGGGCCAGTCTGTCCACTGCTGCGGCCGCTCAGCCGGAACCGGCCTGTCCACTGCTGCGGCCACTCAGCCAGGGCCGGTCTGTCCACTTCTGCGGCCGCTCAGCCAGGGCCGGTCTGTCCACTGCTGCGGCCGCTCAGCCAGGGCCGGTATTTCCACTGCTGCGGCCGCTCAGCCAGGGCCGGTCTTTCCACTGCTGCGGCCGCTCAGCCGGGACCGGCCCTCTGCGCTAAGAAATCCCGGCTCTGTGGCCACAGACCATTGATCGGCTCACCCTGGCCGCTGCGCAAACAACCGCTGGCTTTTAAACAGCGTCGGCAGCGACGCCGGCGCTGCTGAGGAGCGCTCGCCCGCCGGCGCCCGGTCGGGCCGCGGAATCGGGCCGCTGTCGAAAAGGTTTTCAATTGGCTGGCCGTGGTGGGTCAATGATGGACGCCCCGCCGCCAACTTTCGGCGTCGAACGTTCGTAATTCTTGGCAGACAAACACACGGCGATGGATTGAACGGCCATGATATTTGAAAACTTTGTCAGCCCCGGGCTGATCAACAATAAAACTTGTTTCGAAGAAATCCGCTGTCCGTCTTGGCGCTCCGGGGATTTGATGACGCACTGTTTTGAAAACGCCGGAATTGAGAAGCTGAGTTTGCCCGCTGACCACGGCTCGGTGAGGTAATTGTGGCTTATTTCTGAATCTCACGTCCCTAGTTACATTGATGAGAAATGTAAGAAGCAAAAGAAAAACGTCTCGCCAATGGTCGCACGTGTACTTGAGACGAAGCGCAATGCTTGCTAAATGGGTGTTGCAAAAACGCGATTGGGAGCAGCAACGATCAGGAGATTACGGACTTGACAGACATAATCAGGTCTATTCGTAGTTACATGGTCTATTGTGGCCCATTTGCGGGTTAATGGTGCGAAACTTGGTTCCCCGTCGTTCAGACCCACAACCATCCTGACCGTATTGCTGGTGCCATGGCGGCTTTGACCGCACCATTTGTCCGACACTGCATGTGGTGATAGGTCAGGGGTCAATGAATTTCGTGGACAATAGTGTAGACGGGCGCCTTGCGGAGTTTATTCGACCGTAACGAAATCAGGATTCTCTGAGCCAAAACCAGCGCCTAGGACCGCAGGATCTCGCAACGGTCATCGCCATGCAAGGAAGTCAAAGATTTTCCGCAGATGGACATGGCAATCATGTTTGCTGTATGGTTTTGATCGCGTCATTTTCCTGCGAAGACGAAAGCATTTCATGTAACGAAGAGACCTGGAGAGCACAAACCTATGGGCTGTCAACATACTACGCACATGCAAAGCTCGTACCGACCCTCCTGTATTCAATCAAGCATTTAAGTTGCATTTTTGGCCAATTGTAGCGTTCACAACTAGGCGCGAAATTCATTTGGTGCATGGATCATGTTGTTATTTGCCTCGCTGTTTGCATGTTGCGGCATGCACTTGTGCTATGCTTAATCATGTAACATGTGGTGCCTCTCTGAATTAGCCCAACATTTCTGAAATTATCACACCTTTGATATATGCACGTATCGTGAATATATCTGAACAGCTCGTAACTCGGATCACTTAAGCCGCCCATACAATGTCACGGAGAACGCCCAGCCATGTTTGAAGAAACTTAGGCGGCTTATCTAATCCCATGAGCTGCTCTTTCGCTTCTGTGACGGCAGTCCGCCATAACGCTGTTGCTACGTAAGTGTGTAATCACACACGGAAGACACTCTTCTTTAAAGCTGGTTTATGTGGTAAAAACTCGAAAATCTCCCAATCTTCCCAAACATTGCCAAAAAATTGTCCGGGGGAAGGAGGGCCCGTACATCACAAGCAGGCTTCAGGCTTTGGCTGACAGCCAGGAACGAAGTAGCCTGCTGAGCCCGCGTTGGGAGAAAGACGGCAGGTGAATTTGCTGTGGGTGGCATCCAAAAGCTCCCATTCATCGACATTCAGCTAATTCGTTACAATTCGTCTCCTGGACCTTTCTTTTTTTGCCAAAACAATTTGTCGTCGTACTACAGGGCGTTTTTGTCGTCTGCACGGTGCAAGGAGATTTATATCTCTATCTTATCTAAATTGCCATATAATCCCCCGCCGGGCAAATCTCAGATATGATGGTATAAAATGTTTCAGTATTTGGGGCGTGTCGAAATATATTTACCTCGTGAGAATCTTAAAAGACGCATTTATCTACCCATCTACCGGTGTATCTATCTATCGATCTCATTCTCTACCTATATATCCATATCTACTTATCTATCTATAGGTATAAAGAGATGGATAAATAAGTAAATGTATATATATATATATATATATATATATATATATATATATATATATACTCAAATACAATTTAAACCAACTTTGACAAGCGGTAGCTTATTGCTAACGTAGTTTGTTCATGGCTCCCAAAACTCATCATAAACACAACAAGATGTTTTAAAATCCTATCAGATTCAAACTGTTATTCTTTTGTAAGATGTATTCCAAACAACGTGATTTGGTTGCTTTCTGGGATATGTGGCCGCACTAGCAGTGAGTGCTGTGCGAACCATAACCCTTACCATCCGATCGTGAAATCCCAGGACGGCAGAATTTTGTGGCGAACGTACCGCAATGCCCGACACGGTCCGCCATGCCCTGTGACGTCATCTGACCTTAAGCACAGCCGCCACCACCGGTCACAGGCCATCCCAGTTGAGGGGACTAGTGAGCACCTAAAGTGACCCGAACCCGCCCCGCCACGCGCGCCTGAATCGTAAGGCAGCCGGTCTAACCAATGGAGCTATGGGGAGGACATTTCTGGGGAAGATTGCGGCAGTTCAAGCGTTGTGCACTTTTCTACTGACTGATGAATGGCTGTAAAGTCGAAGGCTCGGTGCTTGCTACTGATCGTCTTTTGGTTACTGTTGATGTAATCAGCGGGGTACCTTTCACGTCCGCTTTCGGAGATGACATAAATGACATGCCATGGCCGTTGAACGCCTCGTAAAAAAGCTAAAGCTTATTCATGTAATCTATGTCTCTGTGTCGGACAGAAATGGACAGATTACCAGCTGATGTGGGACGAGTCGGACTACCGTGGCATCCAGGTGCTGCGCCTGCCCCCCGACAAGGTGTGGAAGCCTGACATCGTGCTCTTCAACAAGTGAGTGCCCAGCCAGCGTCCTCGATGCCGCGCGTCATCCGCTGAGACTAACTGCCGGATGGGCATGCCAGGCGTGCAGACAGTCATTAAGCCGGCGCCATGGTACCACGCAGTTTGTCCGGCACAATTCGCACAATTCATTCGTGATGGTAATGCTTGGAATCATTCGCATCTGTCGTATGGTGTGAGAGACGGGATTGGTGGAGGCAGCCCTTAGCTGGCCTTAGTCGTCTTCAATGAATGGTGACGACTTTAAAAAAAAAGGAAATGCGAATGTCTGCTTAGCTGGCTGGCACTTGAACATATTTGAGCTCGTGGTTTTAGGTGGATATTTGGAAAGGACAAGTGCCACATTTAGTTCAAGATTAGACCGTTGCCGGATGTATCTATATAAGGCATGTCTGATTCTGGTGGCGGTGCCAATGTCCTCGAAATTGCACTGAAAATCAGGTTTTCACTTTCGAATCACGTCTTGTTCCCAGAAAACTCTTCCGTCTGCTTTTGCTGCTAATAAATATAAAAGTTTCTTTCTGTCCACCAAAATGTAGTTCGTTCTATTCGCTTTCGGCCAAAACGTTTGAACTATGGACTTTGTGATCAATCTGCTTTTTCATCTCGTTTTAATACAAATATGCAATTCACTTTACTAACTCCAATGGCTGGCAGCTGTAACCTCGCACCTTCCACGCTGGTTTCCTCGAGACTGACCTAAAATTCACCGTTTACATTTAAAATCGCGATTTTCCTAGAACGCTACCATCTTCCTTTGTTGCTTATCACTATAAAAGTTCCTTCCATTGAACAAGGCCAACCTTGGTGATTGTATCCATCAGCAGCCCACATGTTCGGAAAATAGGGCTTATGACCGACCTGCTGTTTTTCTTGTCTTCATGCAAATATGCTATTCAGTTCCTTCATATCCAGTGGTCCACCCGTTGGCCACTTCCACCGATTCTGCCCGTGACTTGATTTCTAAACCAATAGCATCGTCAGAGTCCCCCCCAACGAATCGCTCGGGGGCTTCCAAATTTCTACTCTGTGGGCGATTAGCAGCCAGCGATCTGATGGTTGTAGTGATACTGGAGGTGCGGTTGACCTTGTCTGGCTTTGGTTGGCTGCTTATCATAGAAAATTAATCCAAATAAGTCGCCTGCACTTTACTTTTGGGAACTCACGCGAGCATTCTAGTGGCGTTCCCGGTCAAAACCAACTTTGGTAATACCTTGGTTGTTTTTTCTGGACCTCCAAACGAAATATTTTTCATAATCAATGCCATGCACGTTCACAGCTGCTCAATAATTTCGCACCAAGGATAAAATATCATAGCTAAACGCTCAACTGAACCGAAAGCTCTACGACCTCTTGGTGTCAAAATTGATGGAAATTACGGCGTAGTTTACATCAGGCACCTGGCTACCTTAAAATGAAGGACTGTTTGACATGCGTCTTTGTTATGCGTGTCTCATTTTTGTATACATCATTTGAAGTTCTTCTGCGTTTCCCCACGATGAGTGTGATTCGGATGGTTCTCGCCTCCATACAGATGACAGCGCCCTATTTCTCCAGGCCATCTATCATCATATCCTTAGCCTTCTTGTTGTGTTGTCAATATGTGGCTCCTTTGTCAACGGGACCGTTTATCATCTCGTCGTGCCTGAGCGATGATGCGCTATATGCCGTAACCCCGAGCCAGTAATTGCATCAATCAATCACGCCATCATTAGCGGTGTAACGTGCTTGTGCCTCGCGCCGCGCCGGCCTCTGGCGGGTGATGCCACCTGGTCTTCTGACGGGGTGACGTCACCGGGCATCTGACGGGTGACGTCACCCGGCCCTCTGACGGGGTGACGTCACGGGGCCTGTGACAGTGTGACGTCAACTGGTCTTCTCACCACAGTGCCGACGGCAACTACGAGGTCCGCTACAAGTCTAACGTGCTGGTGCACCCGAACGGAGAGGTGCTCTGGATCCCACCTGCTATCTACCAGGTACGGGCAGCGACGGGCCGGCTTCAGAAGGCGGGGCTCGTGCACGTGATATGGCACAACAATCTGCAGAATCTGCGCTGCTGCGCACCCTGGGTGATGCACTATGGGTCATCTTGCGTTCGTAAGTGGGCCTAAATCAAAAGTGGAAACCCGTAGAAATGAAATATTCGGCGTGTAGACATGTTGCAAGCTGAATGGAGAGTTGTGAATTTATCGTTATATTCTAATATCGCTCTGCCGATTTGTTTGAACCAATCCGCCGAAGCCGCCATTACAGATATGTGCCTGGTTCCTGATGGCCCGGTTCCGGAACCAGAAAGAACCCAGGATCCACCCTTATATTTAGTCGAAGGATCGAGCAAGAACCAAGATCCATCCTGGCAATATCGTGGTTGGTTGAAAAATCCAGCAGGAACCAAGATCCATGGTTTTATTTTGTGTAAAGAATCAGTGGAAACCAGGATCCAGGATGTTGGTTTGTGGAAAGAACCAGCCGGAACCAGGATCCAGGGTTTTGTTTTGCTGACAAAAGCAGTGGAAACCACGATCCGTGGTTTTGTTTTGTCGAAGGAACCAGTGGAAAACAAAAACCAAAACTGGGAACCAGGCAGATATCTGGTTGTCAAGCAGGCTTCGGCTTTGCTTACATGCGAGAAAATGGAAGAGATGTGTTTCAGCTTTACAAAGCTGTTATATTTATTCCAGTGCACTATTCTGTTCAAAAAGCAAGACACTCGGCTACCAAGACTCTTGGGGACATATTTGTACGAGCGTTACCGGAATGAATTAGGCATGTCGCGTTCCGCGCTATTTTTGCGCGTTTTTTTGTGTGCTAGATATAGGCATTCGGTTTTAACTCAACAGAAACATCCCGCACAGACTTATGCGAACAAAGGTATCGAGCTACAGTTGACGCATGCTTTGGCGGCCTGTCACCTGGCGGACGAAGCAGTAATAACTACGCTGGTGACCGGACAATGCTCATTGAAACTTGAAAGACACAAAACGCTTGCTTTTGTGAGGTAGGAAAGTTACGTGTGATGCAGCTAGCGACTTACCAAGTACATGTATGATAAAACTTTCACAGGTATAGCTGTGTACAGTGCGCATGAAAGCAAGCAGTGTAAGCAGCCTTCATTTTCGCTAGCTCTTAGCTTTCAACCTTCAACTTTTTCCCTTAGGCTCCCATTTCAAGCCACACTCTTCTCTCCCTCTCCCTCTCTTTCTTCCCCTCTCTGTCTCTCATCTCTCTCTCTCTCTCCCTCCCTCTCTCTCTCTCTCATATCTCTCTCCCTCTCTCTTTCTCTTCCTCTTTCTCTCTCTCTCTACCCATCTATCTATCTCTCTTTTTCTGTTGTCCCGTGTGGGTAGCAATCTCCTGTGCCGTCTTCATCAGAGTCGGCCTGGAGTCATAAAACACCTGTGGCTAATTTCCCTGCCCGTGAACTGCGGGGTCAGATTGCCTGCGGGTGCCTTACGGCAAGCTGTAAATCGGCAATTGGTTTGCGTGTCTGCCAGGAGCACTCGGCAGCGCCGCGTTTGTCGCCACGTCACGGAGGTGCCTTGTGACGTTTATTCAGGTAAACGGTGGATGCAGAGCTATACCAGAAGCACAGGTGAGATCTCGCTCCGAAGTCTGCGGTGTGAGTATCGCGAAGATCGAGCAACGCACGCGGTTACTGAAAACGCGTTGACAATCTCAGATAAAAATGTGTGAAAACAAACAGGCACACTGAGGTGTTGGCCTGAATACGAGAAGAGACTGAAGACGAAAATGTTGCCGGAGGATTCCCAGTTTCATCCGTCGGTGGTCGGCACCCCTACGTTTCAGTGAAAAGGGCACGAGCCTTTAAAACGATGCGATAGAGTCTCCTGTCAGGCACTCGGCAGATAGGATTCATGCGGCAAAACGGCGAGTTCGAAAGGAAGAACAGGCCGACCCGGCGTTCATCTGAGAATGGTCACTCCGAACGCGAGCAGGGTCAACACATGTCCGACGTCCGTTCCAAGACTAAAGTTAGTCTCCTCAGCCGATGATGTGATAAGGGGGCTCCAACTGCCTTTTTTGGGCGACATTTCACCCAATCGACGTGCGACTTACGCGGCACTCAACAAAGGATAAGCAAGCCTTCGCAAACATGGCGACCGCCGCCGGGGCCACCGGGTCAACGGGCGCCTGATCTGACACCCGAATGTTACACAGGAAGCCATGATGCCTGGATATCCAGCCGGCGCTGAGAATTCCGGCGCCTGAAACAGCCGAGCTGTTCGTGAGCCTCTAGCCGCGGCACTGGATGCCGTGTCTGGGCGCTGAGTACCACACCATAGAGCAGCTATCATTGTCGCGCTTTCCCGCCCACTCGGACTCTTCAGGAAGGACGCGCAACAGTCCCGCAATAAGGAACTGACAACGTACCGTGTGGGAAACGTTAGAAAAGGCTAGCCTGCATGACGTCGCCGACCAGATCGCGCACCTATTGGACAAGAGTAACCTCATCACCAGCTCGTAGGTGAGCAGCGGAAGGTGACAGGGCATTATTAGAGGAGGCGCCCGTCGTCGTACAATAGAATCCTCTAGGAGTCTCACAAAATCTGGTAGAAGCTAACACAGGCGACACCGACTCCGACTAGACAGGTTTCCAATCAGCGAGTATATATGTGTGCCTCGTTATACGTAGCGCGTGTGAACCATATGATTTTTAACATCGTCAGTAGTTTAGAAATAACGTTACACTCGAATTTAATGGGCGAGATCCCCCCTTACACAAGCTTAATTCCAAGAAACCTTGTCAGGCATGGTATCTCAGTTCAACCACCTTGATTTAAGCCTGGGGAAGTCAATGATGTGACGTTTACGATACAGAGTGCAGACTCTGAATTAGCATGGAAAGCTGCCTTCAATCACTTGTTTTGAGCGATTTATGCCAACTCGCTGAATAACACTGCTGAAGGTAATCTTACCCATAGTGCGTTGGAACACCAATCTGAGTAATTTGATACAAAACGCTACGTGACACGGAGCTTGTGCTTGGAACATCTCCCGGCGACATGAGTTGGCTGTATTTGTTTCGTCTCGTGAAGAGAGCTACTGGTCTTCGATATTATCGACCTCAGCATCTCACAGAATGGTGCTGAACGCCCTAAGCCATGCGCGCTGAGAGCCATTCTCACGAAAGTAGAGAACATTACTGTGACCGGCCCCATTTGCCGTTCAGCATCAAAATTTAACACATGGTGGTGTTCCATCCGGGGATTCGGCGCGGATTTATCGTAAAGCGCCCTGGTGGCGAAGCTGTTTGCAGAGCAGCCAGCCAGCATTATCCATGTAACCTTGAAACAAATCGCAAGCATAGAACCACATCTCTCAAACAGGCTAAAGTCCCGGTCTGGAGTCGGGACGGCCGGCGGGCCTCCCCGCGCCCACCTCGCGTTAGTCGCCCGCCACCGGCAGGGGAGGGGTAGAGTAAGGAGGGAAGGGGAGGGGACGGAGGGCGGACAGCCGCGGCTGCCTATTGCCGAGTGCGCCGGCGACATTTCATTCACAGGCGGCCAGCCATTTGGCGCAGTCGGCCGCGACCGTCCAGCCGCTGCCGCCGCCGTCTCGCCCGCGAACGCGTTGTCATGGAGACGGTCGGGCGGCGCGTCGCTTTGAAGAGGCGAGGGGCTATTGATCTGGTAACGCCAGCCGTGTGCCATATTGACACAGGGTGAGATGCGACTGCCCGGGGCGCCGAGCAGTGCGTGGCGCGATAAGGAAGGAGTGGATCGCCTCGCGCCGCCCACCGCACCGAGTAATTATTCGCGCCGACGGATCGACGGCCGCCGTCCAGGCCCGGCCCGGCGCCGGCCGGTGCCCGCGACGGCTGTGGGGCGATAGTCTGTAGTGCGCCGCAACTGCCTCATCTGGCCGCTGCGGCCTCGAGATTAGGGGATCGGCCTCCTGCGGCCGTGACCCGGATATGGCCGGAGGCGATCCGCCGGCGCGCCCTCAGCGCAGCCGTAACACCGGGCCGGCGATTTTCTCCTCCTGGGTGGGAGGGCGAGAGACATTGATGAAGGGAGGCGGAGGGCGGAAGGAAGAGATCCATGGCGGGAGGGGTATGGGTAGGAGGATAAATTGCTGGGAAGAGGAAGTGGGAAAAGTGGAGGGGAAGTGACATGACAAAGAAGATAATCATTTTTGAAGCGCTTTTAGCGCTTTGGACGTTTTCACAGCACCTCGTCACGCGGCCAAAAAACGAGTGACGAAAGCATTAAAACGTACTACATTGCTGTTTATCACATTTCTGAACCGCCCGGCCTCCGCGCTGAGCAGCGAATTCGGAAGCGCTTTGCCCCCACTCACTGACCGTGGCGTATCGTCCATTAATAGTGGTGCCGTGCAATAACCGCGCCGGCGGGGACCGCGTCATTGGGGCCAGTCGTTGCCTGCGACCCGGGCTCTGAATCAGCTTGGCCCGTGGAAGTTGTCCGATTCTTTGGTGTGCTGCCGGACAAACGGCCTCTTGAACCTCGCTGAACAGCGCTGCGTCTCACATAACTTTGGGCCGGCGTCTGCGGCAGGGCCGGCTGGCGGCGGAGCCCCGCCGGCGTCCCCGGTCCCCCCTCCCCGTCCCGGTCCGCAGCGTCCCCCCCCCCCCGCCCACCCGGAGCGCGCGGTGGGTGTGGCCTGTCGGAGCGGGCCTCCGGAGAAGCTCCGCAGAACCCTGCACAGTCTGCTCACGCCGGCTGAGCGGCGGCAGACGTGGACGCGAGCGACTTCATAGGCGAATCCAGCACACAGTCGCGGAAGAGAATTTCGGAGCTTAGAATACTTCGCTAGTTCTCTGGAAACCAATTCAAGGGGGGTGATTTTCGGCGTTTTCTTCGGAAGGAGCTTCTGTCACGTCCGTCGCCCTTTCGATCCGTCCCGGGGTACCTCCAGAAGGACCTGGTAATCTACGCCCGCCCCTCCCCTTCTTCGCCGTGTGTGTGTGGGTGCGCGGAGGGGGGAGGGGCTGTGGTCAATGGGCATGTGTCTCCAGAGAGGGCCGCGCTGAGCCCCGCCCTCCGTCGCGCCCGGCCGTCCTTGTGGTGGTCTCATTGATTATGTACGCAGCCCGCTGGTATGCCATCTGACAGGCAATTCTTGACGCATATTACTGGCAGACATTCGTGGGACGCCGTGGGGGACGCCGCCGGCGAACCGCGGCGCTAGAAGCATGATCAAGTCTTCGTTTATTTGGTTTCAAATGGGCCGAGCGGTGGAGCAAGAAAGCGGCTCAGGCTGCCGGAAAATAGCCTGATCTATTACTCTGTATAGATCCAGCTAAGCGGAAATGCCCTCTGGACAAAGGCAGCGCTGCCGCACGAAGGCGCATGCTGCCACGGCGGGTGCAAGAAAAGCCGCACCGTCGTCGCCGTCGGCGGCGGCGGCGGCGGCGGTGGCGGCGGCGGCGCCGGACGGATATTTTCGCCGCGTCGTGCCGACAATTTCCAGCTGTCGGCCGCTGTCGGCCGAATGTTTGTGTCGCCGCGCGCCGCCGGAGTGACACCCGATTCCGACACGAGAGTGTGCCGCGTTCATTAGCTTCCGGGCGCGGCTGGGCGCGAGAAATAGTGAAATGAAACGACGCACCCTGCCTGGAAACGAAAACAGGGACTCCGTGTGAATGCTGCCTCTTCCACGTTTGTGGTTCATATATGATATGTAGTGAGACAAATTTTCCATTGAGGTATATGGTGTCCCCGGCGGGTGATTTGAAAGCTAGTAACTTGATACGTGAATTCAACAAAATTTGTAAACGTCTCTGTGAGGCCAGAGCTTCGCCTGAGGCACAAGAGCTTACCGCCTCCTTGCCTCAGCAAGCAACCGAACATTAAGTACTCGTCGTCAGTCTTGCTCTGTGACACCGTCCAGCCTATTCGGGTGGAAGAATTCCGATTACCCGTGCCATGGCTTATGCGCATGCGACGAGGGATGACCATATGCAGATATTGGTAGGTGTCTTCATCCCCTGCGCGCAGTTCCTGAACCGCCTTTTCATTGAATCTTATGTCCATCTTCCAGGCTCCCCGCTCCCCTTCCCCTCCAACAGGCTCAGCCATCCGGGCACTCTCTTCGGGCTCGCCGGTTTCACAGCCTCACGGACATTCTGTTGCGGACAGGAATTTAATCGCCGGTGACGTGGCACGCACACCAGCCGTGTTCTGCTGTAAACAAAGCTCGAAGGGATCAGCTTTGTCGACGGCTGGCACGCCGGAATCTCATTAAATCCTGCCCCCGAGAGGCGACTAATGACACAGATGCAGCTGTCCTCTTAATGAAGCGCCGACAGGAGGCAGGCGTAATCGAATGGCAGTCCGCGTATGCTGTGCCGATAAGAACACTGGCGGAAGATGCTGAATTCCCGCCGCCGCCTCCGTCAAAGTAAAGGCAAGCGAGGACTGTCGACTGCCATATGTTTTAATCGCAACGACTTAGACGGCTCGGTCCGCCCCTGGCTGGCTCTAATTGCGCTTCGTCTGCTTCTCCCCAGAGCTCGTGCACGATCGACGTCACGTACTTCCCGTTCGACCAGCAGACCTGTGTCATGAAGTTCGGCTCGTGGACCTTCAACGGCGACCAGGTGTCGCTGAAGCTCTTCAACAATAAGGAGTTCGTCGACCTCTCCGATTACTGGAAGTCGGGCACCTGGGACATCGTCGAAGTGCCCGCCTACCTCAACCATAAGAACCAGACCTCCCCGAAGGAAACGGACATCACGTTCTGGATCACGATCCGGCGCAAGACGCTCTTCTACACGGTGAACTTGATCCTGCCCACGGTGCTGATCTCGTTTCTGTGTGTGCTCGTGTTCTATCTACCGGCCGAGGCGGGCGAGAAGGTCACCCTGGGAATCAGCATCCTGCTCTCCCTGGTCGTGTTCCTGCTGCTCGTCTCAAAGATCCTGCCGCCGACGTCGCTGGTGCTGCCGCTCATCGCCAAGTACCTGCTCTTCACCTTCGTGATGAACACTGTCAGCATCCTGGTGACTGTGGTTATAATCAACTGGAACTTTCGGGGGCCGCGCACCCACCACATGCCAAACTGGATACGCGTCGTCTTCCTCAAGTATATGCCTATTTTCTTATTTATGAAGCGTCCGAAAAAGACTCGCTTGCGGTGGATGATGGAGGGCCCGGGTGCGGGGCCGGCCGGCGGGCCACCGGGCGGGCACGTGCCCTCCTACAGCAGCCCCGACCTGTCGGCCAAGTACACCAAGCCCAAGATGGAGGCCATGGAGCTCTCCGACCTGCACCACCCCAACTGCAAGATCAACCGCGGCGGGCTGGAGCCGCCTTCGGACATGCGGCGCGACAGCGACGCCTCCGACTCCGTCTTCCTCACGGCTGAGGCCTACAAGGCCACCGAGGCCGTCGAGTTCATCGCCGAGCACCTGCGCAATGAGAACGAGTACATCCAGGTGAGGGTGGCGCGCTCGCGGCCCGAGCAGCCACCGCTCGGGGCTCGCGTGTGTTCGCGCGGTCGGGCAGCGGGGTCGGCCGTCGAGATCTAGGGTTGAGGAGAAGCGTCTTTTTGAATGTCGGTGCAGTAGGGGGAGTCAGCGGAATTTTAAATCTCTCTGAAAGGTCCGATAACTCTATTTAAGACTCCAGAAACATGGGTGAAGAGTGTTGAAGGCTTGAAATGTTCTGCCTATTGATCAGACCATTTGGTTTCGTTCACGTCTTGGCTTCGGAATTGGCTGGTGATCAGCTGCGGCGCACAATGTTCGATGGTAACGCACGAAGCTGGGGACGAGGTCGACCTCGTTAAAGGCTGCTGTCAGTTCCGCGCGTTCTGTTTGTTACCACGCCGCTCCGTCTTGTGGAGCAGGCGTTCTAGCGGCCAATGGCTGAAATGTCTGCGTTCTGAGCTTGTGATTCTCAACCTTGAAACGTTTCTATGTGACCACTCTTTACGCGCTAGAGCGGTGATCCTTCGACCCGTAAATCGCACCTTCATCTCCCGTCTGATCTTGCGCCGGCCCACAGATTCGCGAGGACTGGAAGTACGTCGCCATGGTGATAGACCGGCTTCAGTTGTACCTCTTCTTCGCGGTAACGACAGCTGGAACCATCAGCATCCTCATGGACGCTCCTTTCATCTTCGAGTACGTCGACCAAGACAAGATTATCGACATCTACCAAGGCCGGTAGACAGCCACCGCCGCACTGGGGGCAGACCGCCACTTCGTCACAACAGGCGTCGTCCTCCGGCCATTTCTGTGCCCACCGCCAGCGCGCCCGCCGTGGGGTCGCCGTCGTCACGGCCTGTCGGTGACGTCTGCAGGCTGTGGCGTGGTCCATCGGTGACGCCTGCAGGCTGTGGCGTGGTCCGTGGGAACCCGGACGGGTGTTGGTGCGCTGCTGCCGATGTTGGCCGGCGGATTCTGATGACTGTGCTCCGGCCTAGCAGCATCAGGACCGGCAGACCCGAGCTAGCTGCTGCTGCTCCTGCTAGCCGCTGTGGTGTGGTGAGTGTTTTCGATGAGTGTTGCGTACAACCGGGAGGTGAATCACCTTGAACTGAAAAGGGCAATCGCGGGATTGCACGCTCATAACAACCGAGGCAGATGGCAGGTGTGCTCGCGAGAATTCACTGGCTGCGACAATTCCAAACATCAACCGAAATCCACCCATGGTGTTGTCGTGCGGATTCGCTTGGTAAGCGTGTAATCACCACTCAAACCTCCACCGCTAACCGACGTAGACACGCATGGAAACACATCATGAGCGTGCAGTATCGGCCAACCACCCCTCGACGCCAGCAAGCTTACTGAACTGAGACTAAGGGCAGCGCGACAGGCGGGCTTCCACACGGGCTAGCCGGAGCGCATGAGTGCCCTGCACGTTGTGCGCATACAAGCGGCAGTGATGCACCAGCGTGGCTCTGCTCATTTCGCCCC